CGTAGTCCGGTAGGATGCTGCTTTCTGAGCTGACCGCTTGTCATTGAACTCACAGAGTAAGTCATCATGCCGACCAGAAGAGAAATAAATAGGGAGGCAATTGCAGATGCAGTTGCTACGGCCTGAACAGAAACAAAAAGAGGAGAACAGAGGGACGTCCAGACCGCTCCCGCCCCGCACAGCGTAACTGACGTACACCAAACGTCTACCACGCTACGTATGTTTTGGTAACGATTGATACAAGTGGTAACAGGGGGAAAATATTGGCCTGCGACTTACCCCATGCAGATATGTTGCTGGCGACCTCGCTTGAATCAAGCGCATGTGGGACTTGTCCATGGCAGGGAAGAAGGGTTTGGAGGATATTGACATCTGAAGAAAAATATAGCAACATATGAAGAACCACAATTGCACGCAGTTGTAATGCCTCAACTTGCTAGTGTTTACAGCCTGCGAACAGCTACAGCCTTTATAGGTCCTCACCTCGATGTATCCTGAAGAGGTGAACCTGTCAACGACGAACGCCAGCGGGCTCATAATGTTTCCTAGTGTCGCAGGCACACATTTCACTCCGATGAAGATTGTGCAGCTCTGCTGTGTAGCTTATGGTTTGGTTTAGCTATCGAATTAGGGCCATACGCATATACCGGAGTGATGTTGCACGTGCAGGGTTGATTGTGCATGCATGGGGAGGCAGCAAGGCTTACGAAAGCTGTTCCTCAGGCTTCGAACGACAGCTGAATCGTCAGTCGACGCAAAGTGCTTAGTCGCTGCCCATGGGAACAGCAGCCGGATGGGCCGTGTTGCCCCCATGACGAGGCCGCCGACAGCAAAACTTCCCAAGTGATGAATAGACCCAAGCCCAATCGCCACAAGAGGAGGGAACCATCCGACGTCCCTCTCGTCTGCTCCTTCGGGGGGAGAGAAGTACCAAACCGTCGCCGTGTAAGAGATGACGAAGTGCGCAAATGCCATCAATGCCTCTACCACCCAGAACAAAGCCAGCCACCAAAGGGGAGCGAAGAACATCAGCCGAACGTCCCATACAAACTCCCGGTGCAAAGGAAGGATACCAATGTCGCCGTTTTGCTCCAAACCCATGGGGATCTGCGACGGACACCACACCCGGGGCTTTGCAGCAGAAAGTAAGCTAATCGCCTACTTGGAGAGAGGATCCGTCACCGATGCTACGTGGGGCTACTGCTGAGAGGCACATTGAGACTGGAGGCAAACCAAACAACATTCCTCCGCTGCTCACCTCTGTCGCTCCTACTTTCCCAGAAGACACCATGAACACGTAGGACCAAAGCCACACCCCAACCCAGACAATGGTGACTGCAGGGCACACAACAAACGCACGAGCAAAGAGCTAGTTGGACCTGTATTAAAATTATGAAATTCAACAGCAGAGATCTTGGGAGTCATTCGATGGGCAGGCTACCTAATCCATTTCGTATGACGTGTAAGCAAACAACTCGACGAAAAGTTTACCTGCGGAAAAGAAAAGGGGAGTCAGGAACACTTGCTGCATATCCCCAAGAGCCTGCGCTGTACACTCCATCACGCGCAGGGCAGTGACAACCGCCCGACGAGCGACGAAGAGAGCCACCACAAGGAAGCAGCCAATGGCTAACAGCACGAAACCCACCTGAAATCACATGCCAGTCGAAGAGAAGATGTAAAATGAGCAATGGACTAACGAAGCAACGCAAAAGGGAGCTGCACATGATCTACCGAGGAGGTTTGTTTCTACATACGTATTAAAATATAATGCATAAGAGGGCTGCACAAGGCAAAAACTCGCGAGAAGACGATGCAGAGAGAGACAATACAACTTACAAACATGGCTAGAGTGTAGTCAAGAGAGTAGAAGTTGCCTTTGTCCTGGTCGAGCACACCAGAGAAACCACTCTTTATAAGAACTCCCCCTGCCACAAAAGCCAGTGCAATGCTCCCCGCAGCTGCACCGCCGAACAGGAGTCCTGGGGAGAATCTCATGGAGGCGGAGAAGATGAGAGAAATGAAAACAGCGAAGAACAAGTATCCAAAGACACAGCCCCATGAATTGACGAAGGAGCCAATGGCGAACTGAAGTTGACGGAAGGTGTTGTTCAGAGCTGGAGCGAGCTGCGAACGAAGCGAATGATCGAGAGGAATGCAATACGCGTCTGCCATTAGGGTAGTTGCGTAAGCAGGCGAGAGCAACAGATACTCTGCTGTAAGTGCAGAGGTTCTGGCAGCGTCGATGCTCGTTTCTCGGATAGGAGTTGGGATCGTCAGTCCGC